CCTCGTCATCTTCAAGAGTTTGTTCTGGAGGAGCTGGTCCACGGTCATCGAATAGATGATCTGAGAAGCTTTTAGCTGCATCTTTCAAGGCGGCAACGTCTTCCTGGCTCGGTGTCCAATCTTCATACCCAAAGGCTGCACGAAGTTGCTCGGCAGTGATAAGGACTGGTGTATTGCCACTGCGAATCCAAGCTTGCTTGCCTGGATAGGAAGGGTCCCAACTCAAGAACCTTCCAATCACCCATGTGCCTCGCTTTCGAGGGCCACCTTTGCGACTCCATCTCCAGAATGCACATCTTTGACCGGCTTGAAGGTCAGCGATCTTTGTGATTCTGGTCTTTCGGAGAAGTGCTCTTCTCAGATGCTGGCTCACGTCCAAATTGTGCACTGTCTTGATTGCCTCATTGTGCACAAGCTCGGCTTTGAAGCCCAGATTGGTTTCATCTGCTGACTTGATGGCTGTTGAAGAGGTGGCCAAAACCATGGAGTCGCTGAAGTTGCTGTCCAACATCCTGGGTTGTCTGCCAAAAACCATCTGGTATGCTGAGCGGCCATGTGTATGAATAGCCGCATTCATGGCATGACATGCTGACGTCACCAAGACGTGGCATTGTTCAACTGTGTTTGCAGCGAACTGATCAATCAGCTTCTCCAAGGTTAAACGGAGAATTGAGTTCCTCCTCTCAACCATTCCAATCACATGATGTGCTTCTGCAGGGCAGTGCTCAAGCAAAATGCCTATCGCTTGGATCTTGTGCTGAAACATCCCCTTGAAGGAAGGGTCAGGATCACAAACGATTCGCAAAGGCAGACCATATGGTTGGAACCACATGCGGTGCATCAGTTGAAAAACTTCTTCACCACTTCTGTCACCCAAAATGCCAGCTTGATGAAAACCTGTTGCACGGTCTACTGCACACAAGATCATAAAGGTTGTTCCGTCCACTGTTTTGCAGTAACAGATGTCAGATTGCAACTCATCGTTGAACTGACCAACCGTGATGTTGGGTGTTGTGGAAGGCCTAGCCTTCTGTGGAGGTCGAAGGCGTTCACATGTTGCACAGCGAAGGGCTCGAACTGCTTGATATAGAGCATCTGGAATGGTACCTTCGTATGCCAAAAGCCTACAAAGCTCTTGTGAAGATGGGTGACCCATGTTCAGATGCAAACGTGCAGCTGTCCGCTTCACCTCTGGTGGCACTGTTGAAGGTAGTCCTGGAAAGTCAATATCGGTGGACAATCCTGGGACTACTGATGGACCTGGTTGTTCTTGTTGTTGAGGTTGAGGCTCAGCCTCTGGGATCTTCCTTCTGTCGCCATAGATGAAAATGCCATAGCGGACAGGTTTGCTAAATCGTTGTTTCGGAAAACGAAGATCTCCAAGGTCTTCTACCTCAACTGCACGCTGTCCATCATTGAAGAACAACACATTGGCTCTGGTGTACCACTCATCAATGTTGGGTGGGACGCGCCTCGTAGTTGGATTGGCCACTGCTTGGATCTTGATGGCATCGATCCTGACGAGGTCTTGGATTGCTTTGCCAAAACTGCTTGAAATATCGATCAGGAAAGGCTTCTTTGAGGAACGTTGGAAAGCCTTGTCAACATGATCGCATATCGGGTCCCAAGCAGCAAGGTCTTCACTTGGTTGTTGAACTGGGAGTGCATGGTGAATGCCGGGCTGTCGATGGCAAAAACGCTGTGGCTGCAGAAGGCGAACATGGTCAAGTAGGGCTTTGAGGATGGTCCTGCAGAGCTCCTCAGGATACGCCTGAGACTTGCGAGTCATGTCACCTTGGATGGGTGTGCACTGAGACCGCTGCATTGGTTAGGCGGCGAGAACTTCGTCAAGCCCTGGCATATTCGAGCCAATCGGCTTGCATACATCCTTTCCATTGTGCATTGTGTCACAGGTCACTTTCCACACGCCAGACATTTCCAGCAATTCACGAACTTTCCTGCGTTTCCCAAAGGATCGTCGAGGGTTCTCGCATGCAGCCAAATCCTGTCCTTTGGAGTGCTGTCTCTTTGCAATCTTGGAAGCCCAACATTCTAAGAGCACCTTGTGATTGCAGCCATTCCCACTCTTCAGGACGATATGAGTACATGTTCTTGTTGAACATGATGTAATGTCTGCAATCAATGGCCATCATGACGAGGAGGGGCTGAAAACGATCCACAGTGTGCAGCATATGTTGTCTGAGTGTGTTCCAGCATGAAACTGCGTCCATGCAAGAGGTCATAGGGCTGAGCTATTCAGCTGATATTCCGTGGAAAGCTTGGTAGTCAGAGCCTGCACCTGCAAACAACTCCCAAGATCGCAATTTTGCGATCACATGCTGGTGTGACTCTGGAGCAAAGGCTCACCTCAGCCTGCAGGTGTTGGCTGACTTATCCCATTCTCCAAAAGCCGCTTTGATGTGCCCTTCTTTAGAAGTCGTCCACTTCCGCCATTCGTAGATCTTTCCTCACATGTCCCACAATCGCTCCCACGTTGGGTCAGTCGCACCATCGAAGCTGGTTGGAGGCTGCTTCTCGCTGCGCTCGGTCTTGCAGATAATGTCTTCCGTCAGCCAGGCTTCTTCGATCCATGTCAGATGTCTCGTGCTCATCTCCACAATTGGACTCTCTTGGCTGTGATATGGACGACCTCCTCCATCTCGCTGTATGTAGATGGTCGGTTCTCATGTCTATGTAATTGAAGGCGTGCACAATCTCCTGGTCTGAAGTCGTCCATGATGTGGTGGGCCAATCATGGAAACCAGCTATGTGGTCGAGTGAAGCCTTTGGTTGTGTGTTGGGCCTGCATTGACCTCATAGCTGAACTGGCTGGTATGCTGATCGTTGCCGAAGTATGCGTGTGGCAAGGGCTGAAAGTGCGCAGAGCGTTCTTTTCGCCCATGTGGAACCCAACTTTCATGGCTCCAATCCACTTGTGTATACATGTCAGGCATCGGCGAATCTGCCGTGGGCGTTCCCGTACTTCTGGTGGTCGGGTGTTGGCAATCCTGGGATTTGCTGTTGGAGGCACTGTGGGAGGAATGCCTGCAACACCCTCGTGGCCAGCGCCTTGAGATTCCATCATCATCATCATCCATGGCCAGGAAGTTCTTGAACTGTTAATGTTCATCATAAACTTCCGCCATGCTGCAAGGGCATAGGAGGAAAATGGCGCATGGCTGTCGCTCGAATTGAGTTCAGGGGCACAACAAACTCAGGGTCTGGTGTTTGTTGCTGGTACATGAGCAGGAACAAGTCACTGGTTGTATGTGCGCGCAGGGAAGTTGAAATGTTGATGGCCATGTGCATGCTATTCTATGAATCATTGCTCCAACTCCTAGCTTGGTGAAAGTGACCCAATCGTTGCTGAGGTCCAGAACTGCAGAATTCGAGTGAGCAAAGAGTTTGTTGCAAGCATGGAATGTTCTCTTGCACACACATGCACCCAAAAAGACGGTTCACCTGCAATCCCTGATGGCAAAAACGATCTTTCAAAGACTTTGATGGGGTCCCCTTGCCAAATTGAAAAACATCATCTGCCTCAATGAATAAGGGACAACGCCACTCTGCAGCTGCCTCATGTGGGCGTGCAAGCACTTCTGACCGCAACATGTAGTTGGCAACCCGAATCAAAACAAGAAAACCTGCAAACATGATTCATGGTGTGAGGAACAGCACGTCATAGGTATCCTGTGTGGTGAACCATACCAACTGAAAATGCTTGGCCATATTGGTGGCTTCTTGAGGTGACTTCCTATTGAAAGGGACCATGCACTGGTGGATGAGATTAAACTGCAAACTTCTCAGTTTGCTGCTCCCGCTGCTTGCGCTGCTGACTTTTGCTCGAAGCGTAGGAGGTAGACTCAGGAAGCTTACCCTGGTTTTTAGGGCACTCTCTTGATACCAGTGTCCTCGCTGACCAGCAAGCAAGAGCAAAGGTATTGCGTTTGGCTCTTCTGGTGGGGATGATCTCTGGTCAAGACTCAAATCCAGGCTTCGTCTTGGACCATTTCGTCCCAAGGTCAGCCGCCTCAGCTTCGATGCAGTGATAGTCAGAACTTGTGCCAGCTCTGAAAGTCCACCGATTCAGCTTCAGTGTCATGGACGCTGTCTCTGGTGATTGGTCATCTTCTTGGTCTGGTGGTTCATCCTCCTCGTCAATGGTGTCGAAATCATTGCTGCAGGGCGGCTGGTGTTTCAAGTCCAGCACGTATGCCTTCTTTGGATATCCCAAACCAGAGTATGTAGAACTTGAAGAAGGGAAGTCAAGAGCTCGACTTTGATGTAGTGTTTTGGCCAGATTGGATTTACCACCTTTGGAGCTTTGGGAATCATCACGGCCAGTTAGCCCGACAATCGGCACCCTCCTCAATCAGGAAACTGTAGGGCCATAGCTTCAGCCAACTGGTCGAAGGCCAAGGCTGGGAGGTGCTACCAACAGGAGTCTGATTGCTCGTGGCTAAGGCCTGAGCGGTCCAGCAAGCGAGCTCCCAGGGCCTTTGGTCATAGGTGTAGGAAATCTCAATGCCCACGCATTCAAAAACGCTGAGTTCGATGAAACGGAGCAGTAGGCACGCATGTCTCGCCATGGTTACGTCACCACTCTCAAATCATGCAAGAACTTGCGTTAGGTACACCTGCTTCTGCTCCATGGTGCTTTGAACTATCCCGTTCAGGTTGGTCGTCTTCCTCTTGGGGCTGCTGGTATCCAACGTGGCTCTGCAACACGACAAGCTAACCAAGGGTTCACCGTAGGCGTTAAATTGGCCGCGGTTTACCCTCTATCGAGAGGCGGCTCCAAACACGCTGAGAGGCATTGAAGTCATCCACGATATCCCACAGCAGTGGAAAAACCTCCGTCCAGATTGGCTGTAGGCTGAAATGCAATCAAGGCGTGATCAAGCTGCACTCATCCTCAAATAACATGAAAATATATGAAAATCCGGTTGGAGAGCCATTTCCATCCTCTCTTACACGCACCTCCGAGCTGCCATAAGCAACGAGAACTCGCTGTCCCCGACCTTTACTTCACTCCCTTGACAAATTTCCGCGCTGACATGAAGCCCTCCTAGAAAAATGCTGATCAAGTTTGCAGCATTAGAGCTGACGAAGACAACTGAGACATGTGAACTCCACTGGTTTGACTTGAAACTGCCTTCCAGCGCACAAACCACACTTGCATTGGTCAGGTCCTGAACCAATTTCCACAAGTAATCAATTGGGATGGAATCGAATATTGCTGGGTAGCCATTGAGCTCGCGCTTCCTTACAGTCGACTTGGCCAACAGACTTTGCATTCCACTGACGTGTCAGCATCGAGGCATTTGGCAGTCGTTAGCCATGATTTGGTGCAATTCGTGCAACTCTCTTAGGTTGATGGACATGGCAAACATTCTGACGCACAAAAAGTAGTCTCTGCTATTGTTTCCTCCGACTTTCTCACTGGATTGAACTCTCTTCGTTCTCTCTCTCCCCTGCGCCATCCCCAAAAGTTCAACAGCTGTGAATTTGAACTCTTTGGACAGTGGCGACCCATACAAGATCAAGTTAAAATGGACGGCAATTAGAATCATTGAGAAGGCTCAGCAAATTTACAATTGTAAGATGTTTTGGGCAGCTCTTTGTCCTGAGTCGCCCTCACTTGGCCAAGCTGCAAAGCTGACTTAAAAAAGTTGAACTCCCTGTCTGTGAGCATGCAAAATTCGCCATGCTTCAAAACAGCATCTAGGTCCTCACACCGAAAAGGTTCAAAAAAAACAAAGGACACAGACACTGTAAGCAAAGGTGTGTATGATGAGACCCAACACATTCAAGACCCTCCTTTGAGAATTGCACAAACACGCGCAGTTTGCTGTGGCGATGTTCTGGGGAAAAATGATGAAAAATGCACATCGTGCTGCACAATTCAAATTAAGCAGTGGAGCTTTCCCAAGCACATCCTTGGCAATGTTCTCAGAGTACTCCAGGCGTGTTTCGGTGAAGCAATGTCGCCACAAGACCTTTGTCAGCTTCCCTTGTCCCATGTCTTGTACAACACATCTATTTGAATCTATCTATCATCTATGTGCAAACCCAACAATCTTTCACACCCAACATTGCACATGACAAGTGACAAATGTCAAGCATTGCTGCTCTATGCCCATGCGAGTCAAATCTGCCCAAGTGTTGCCGGTACTGCTGCCCTGGCAAGTTCAATGCAAGCTTAAGATGCGCCAGACTGTCACCAGAATCAGAAACGCCTAAAAATGATATTACTGTGCCTGCGTATCAGCATTTATACAACACAAACATCAAACAAAGTCAAGGTCTGTTAATTTGTTTGGTGGAACAGTGACTCTCGCACTTCGGCCCAGGCTTGGCTTGGCTGCTCGGCCACTTGGCTGCTTGGCCTTGTGCTCCAAGTCATACAGCAACGCGTCAATCGGAGCAGATTCATCGCTGCAGCCTTCAGCCATATGGAGAAGATCTGGTGCTGCCTGCGGTGCAAACGCAATGGAGCGGTCAAATAGAAAGGATGCCTTATTGGGTATCATAATATGACGGTCAATATCCCTTTATTACACTTGCATTTATATCATCTTCACATTATATATATTAAAATAAATAAATAAATAAATAAACGGTATATACTGTAATGTACTCAATGTACTGTACTAAACTGTGCTCCATGTAAATAGTACTGTTTAGTACACTACCGGTTATGTAAAGATGATACAAATGCAAGTTATGCAGTGCTTTGATTGTAATATCTACATATATGGAGGTTTCCTAAAATAGGGGCACCTGAAAATCATCGATTTAAATAGGATTTTCATGGATTTTCCATTATAAATACCACTAATTTTTGGTACCCCCATTTCAGGAAACCTCCATGTAGGTTGATCTATACGTTCCCAACCCCCCTGCCCTCTCTGACCTGAATCCAAGACTTGTGCCAGGTGTCCAACGCTTTCTGCGCGCGGCGCACCACGATGGCCGCATGCTCGCGTGACAATACTACCCACCTCACAGTGTCCAAAATCTGCGCACCAAACGCTGACATCTGCACAAAGAAACAATAGGCCCAATGGATGAACAATAGGCATACTTCAGGATCAATACGCAGAACCCTTGAGACAAATAAGATTGCCGTTGGCGTTTTTTATTTAAGGGTGGGCCGTTGTGGTTTCATGATTTCTTGATTTGTTTTCATTTTTTCTTTGCGATTTCTCTCTTCCTCTCTCCCTCTCTCTAAAGCCTCGCGCGATTGAGTTCCCAATTCTTGGAGCCAAGCCAATTCTGGGGGCTTTAAACCTGAAAGAAACCTTGTCCCTTCAACCATCGTACTGCCTGCAAGAAAATCACAGAACAGTTCCAAGCTTCCCAACAAAACTTATCCCAAATGCTGAATTTACCAAACATCATTTTAAAACAGTACATTCATGTTAATCTTAATCCAACCAAAAACGAATCCCAGTAAATCTGGTGACAAAGTCCATTCCGTCCTTTGAAATCTTGCCAGGGTTCTGGTGGTGCTTCAAAGTCCGTGGCGAAAATGACCGCCAGAAGTCCCGGAAGACGCAGGTGCGACGCAACTCGTTGCGGATGGTTTCGTAGGTGGCAAGCTTGTGGAAGGCAGGTTCCGCAAAGCAGAATTTGCTCGTGAAGGAGGAGTCCAGAACCAGCTGCTTGTACACGTAATTGAAGCCTGTGCGGCAGCATTTCAATGGGGCAACACATCTCCCATCATCTCCCATCATCTCCCATCATCTCCCATCATCTCCCATCATCTCCCATCATCTCCCATCATCTCCCATCATCTCCCATCATCTCCCATTCACACCAAGAACCAGACACTGGAAATGTGTCAAAGTGTCTACGATCCACTCCAAGGTCTTGGAGGAAACCAAGAAATCTCTGAATATCTGCCCCGCGGCTTTTCAGTGGTATCGTGTTGTGGGACACAAACACGAATTGCCTAAGCTGCCCGAGGAAACCGTGAGAAACCTGCATCGGGGTTTATCTTTTGAGACTGCTACTGATGTTGGTTCCGAGATGGTGGTGTCTACGCATGGTTTTGAAGCCTTCCACTTCCACACCGCACAAGCATCTTGGAATCTTAGAAGCACGCAGGAAACAACTACAGACTGGAAAAGATCAATCAAACCCTGAAGCAAGGTGCTGATTGTGCGGATCCTGCAACGCTCGAGCCAGAAGAGCAACCTCCAATCCAAATAGTGCACACCATCTGGTCTCCACCTGCAAGATGAATCAAGGCAACCAGGCAACCAGGCAACCAGGCAACCAGATCCAATTTGTTCTGACCAAAGCATGGCCCACCGGCCATCAGCAGCTATCAATTTGGAGCATTTCGGAGTAATTTTTATACAAGGTTACAAGGTCCTCAAAGCTTCGGCCTGGGGAAGCTCCACGGCGCCCCAGCGGCTCAGTGGCAAAGTAGCAGACCAAGGCATACTCCAACCTAACAAACTCCAAGCCACATAGCTTACTTTGCCGTATTGGTCAAATTTGCTTTGAGCCTTCACGATTCCATTAATCTAGCATTGCATTGATTCAACTACCCCAACCTGCCCGGATGAAAGCCAAACATAGCTCAAACTAGGTGGAAACAACTCCCATAAAAGACATCCAATGCACATTGAGTTTGCATGATCATCTTCCATCTGGTGAAGCGGTGCAGAAACTTTTTGGGGTTTCCTTGAGTTTGGTCTTCCTGACTGCTGCCACAATAATGGGAAGTTGCATGTTCCTGCTCCCAACCTGAGAATCTCTCTGCCAAGCGCTTCTCACGATTTCCTGCACGATGCACGTAGATAGAATATGCACCATACCTTGTGGCACGTAGGATCAGAGGATGTTATGTTTTTGCCGTGTTCCATGGTTGTGGAAGAAACTAAGCTCGCAAGTGACACCAGCAAGAAGAGCTCGCCTAGGCCAGCCCCATGACTGCGCAATAGGGGCTATTCACTAAGGAAAACTGCTGTCAGTGCAGTTTTTTCGGGCGCACCCAAGTGGAAAAAGGGACCAACTCTGCAGAGCAAGGCACGCGCTTGCATCTCCGAAAAACTTGTCCCACAAATCCTGTCCACAAAACAGGTGCGGCCAAGGTGACACATCGAAACAACTAGCACCGGGTTCCTGGTGTGTGTGCGCTGCCACTACCGTCCCTCCCTGATTCAGACAAACGACAAACACACTGTAAAAGCAGGGAACATAAAGAACTTGCAACTATGTGCGAAAAATTGCCATTATAGACTCACTCTGATTGTAATTGTTTATATATATATATATAAATATATAAATATATAAATATAAATATATAATTATATATATATATTATGGTTATGGACCACAGCACGATGCTAAACAAAATGGCATTCTTGAGGTCACAAGTCACATGTTTCTGATGCCATGGCTGATGCGAATGATTTAGCTCCAAGACCTTCACACAATTTCACGAGCCGTGGTCGGTAAAATTTGGTACACTGGTACACTGGCAGGGCACTTGCTGGAGGGATAACAGAGAATGGGTCTCCCAAACCACTGACCTCAAAGTCGAGGCCATCCTCTGTCATGAAGAGAAATGCAACCTGTCGTGTATTCCCCGGCCATGCTGGGAGCACCGAAGGCACTGAGCAGGCCCGTAAAACTTCACGATCAACACGCAGTTTTTCCTCCATGTAGTTCCGCCTGCGCTTGGAAGCGCTAGGGCTGGGAGCCTATTCAACACTTCCAAAAGATTGAAATTTCATCCACTAATCGTTCATCATTGCTATGACAACGATGTTTGCCCCGTTGCATTTCAGTCATTTTGCACCTCTTGTCACCAAATTTTCTTGCTCGCCCACGCCGCGTCTCCTGCTTGCTGGAATTGGCAAATCACTTGAATCCAAACAAGGAAGTCAAAATCGGCAATGTGCCGGACAAAATAAAATAGACCTTTCTGTTCGGGAAAAATATATGCAACCTACATAAAGACAAAGACCTAGTTTTTCCCGTTTCTGACAAACAGGTAGATGGTCTAAATCAAAATGTGGCCCTCACCGTCACAAACATACAAATGCAAAGGGCATGTGACTTTGAAAACGTGACCATATCTTTCAACATGTCAATTTCCTACTTTGCACCCACAGACCATCCACTTGTGCCTTCCAACACTATCATCTTATACCCACAGGTTCCCCTCCAAGTGATGGCCAAACTACTTAATTACTCACTAGTCATTACACATCCATGATGCAACACCGTGTAGGTAGTGTGCAATTCAGTCCCTCCTCGGCAAGATACGCAGATCTGAAGCTTCGTGCCAACACGCTAGTTCCATTTAGACCTGTTGGACGAACGGCTGACACAAGCCATCCTAACGTAACTATGTGCAAAATGAAAGGGTTCCAATTTTGGCGGGATCGTTCTTTGGGGATGGTGATTGAGAAGTTCGGTTGGTTTAAAGTTTAAATTGGCCCAAAATCCTGTTTATATGCCCTTGTCGCATCGTTCGTATGCTGCGACGTATCAACCCCTCAGATCTTTTCAAGAAAATGTAACAAAAGTCAAAGGATGTTAAATTAGCAAATTTCCGAGAAACCGACACATGTTCACGGTTAATCCTCACACCATCATGTCACCCACATCATGTGAAGTAGTTCGGACACTCAGGACGTGAAATATTTTTAAAAAAAATAATAACACTCCCAGAGAGTGTGCATCTGCGTATGAAACAATGGAAGTGCGCGAATTGCTGCGGTTTTAAACGTATGGTGGCTGCAGACGTCGCCGAGCGAGGGTCTGCCACGGGTGCGAGCGTCCGTTTGCAAAAGCTGCCGACAACAAGCGAACAAATTGTCGCTCCACTTGCACTTCAAAATGCTAACCAAAATAACCGTCAAAAGCACTTCTGGAAGATGAGGTCGGAAAAGCGCGCACGAGACTGTAGCGAGAGCTGGATTGCGAGAAAGAAAATTGAAAAATTGACAGACGCAAACAAGCAAACGATTTCAGGTCCGAAATGATGTCAACTCGATGGTGCGCTCGTGCTCTGTGGGATTCCAACTCGTTGTGATGAAACGCATTGGCACGGCTGCGCGCAGGAAACAATAGTGACGCAGTTCCTGATTTGCGAACTGATATGCGTGATTGCAGCAGGAAGTTGCTAAACGCATTATGGCTGGCTGCGCAACCAGGGGAATTGGGCTACAACAGAACGTGTACCTCAGAGAAGACATAGCTAGCTCAGAGCAAAAGCAGGTCAGAGAAGAAGCAGCCCAGATAAGGCAGCTCAGAGAAAAAGTAGCTAAGAGAAGAGGCACTTCAGCGAAGAGTTCGGTCAGCGAAAGAGCGGTTCGGTGAAGAAGTAGTTCAATGAAAACGTCGTTCACAAAAGACTTGGTTTAGGGAATGGGTAACTCAACGAAGAAATAATGTCATTCATGCATCCACAACCACTCATTCGTTGGTTCGTTCCTTCCTTCATGCATTCATGCATTCATGCATCCATACATATATGCATTCATTTGTTCATTCATTCGTTCATTTCATTTCATTTCATTTCATTTCATTCCATTCCATTCCATTCCATTCCATTCCTTCATTCATTCATTCATTCATTTCATTTCACTTCACTTCAATTCATTTCATGTCATTTCAGTTGATTTGATTTCATTTCATTCATTCATTGAATTTATTCATTCATTCATTTCATACATTCCCTCATTTCATTCATGTCATTCATTTGTGCACTCATTCACTCACTCCTTGATTCATTTCATGTCGTTTCATGACATGTCATGTCACGTCATGTCATGCCATTTCATTTCATTTCGTTTCGTTTCATTTCATTCATGTCATTTCATGTCATTTCACGTCATCATCTAATTCATTGTATTCACCTCATGTTATTTCATGTCATTTCATGCCCTTTCCTTTCCTTCCATTACAATTCGTTCTTCGGTTCATTTCATTCATTTAATTTCGTTTCATTCCATTCCATTCCATTTCATTCCATTCATTCCTTCATTGATTTCTTTCCTATCATTTCATTTCGTTTCACTCAGAAATCTCATTCAATTCATTCATTATGGTCGATTTTTTCATTTCATTCATTCATTCGTTCGTTCGTTCATTCATTCATTCGTTCGTTCGTTTGTTGGTTCCATGCTTTCCTTCCTTTCTTCCTTCTTTCCTTCCTTCATTCAGTCATTCTTTCATGTCCTTCATTAATTCATTCAATTTCTTCAATCATGCATTCATGCGTTTTTTTCACTCACTCACTCACTCATTCACTCACCCATTCAGTTGTTCATTCCTTCATTCATTCATTCATTCCTTCCTTCCTTCATTCATTCAGTCAGTCAGTCAGTCAGTCAGTCAATCCTTCATTGGTTTGTTTGTTCGTTCACATCCATTTATTTCATCAACCATTCATTCATTCATTCATTCATTTCATTCATTCATTCGTTCTTTCATTCATTGATTCATTCATTCCTACCTTCCTTCATCCATTTGTTTGGATTCAATCTTTTCATTCATTCCATTCATGTGAATCATTTCAATCATTTCATGTCATTTAATTCATTTCATTAATTTCCTTCATTTGGCTCATTTCATTCATGTCATTCATTCATTCATTCATTTCATTTCATTTCGTTTCATTTCATTTCATTTCATTTCATTTCTTTCATTCATTCAATCATTCATTCATTCATTATTTCATTTCATTCATTCATTCATTCTCTCGTAATCTGGGATTTGATTGCTTCAAATCAAGTGCAATGCAAAAGGCGCGGCCATTTTAACACCACGGCAATGGTAAAAGGAATTGTCTTGGCTAAGGGCACTTTTGTGCCAAAGGGGCAAGTTGTGATGCACATGCCAACAGATGCAAACAGATGTGTGAAATCCACGGCTCAACACTTTCACCGGTATGTTTTTCTTTGGCTTGTGCATCTTTCGTCATAATGCAAACTGGGCGTTGCAACCACTCAGCAAATCGGTCTCGCAACTTGGCATCTATCTTTGTCAAACCATCACTGAATTGCACATCAGTAGGAACCCAACGGATGGCATCGACAGGAAGCTGTTCTTGGGTGGATCTGATAGACACCAAGGTTCTACGGTCGTTCAAGCTGGGATTCTCTGAGATCACTGCATCATAAAGTGATTTGGCATCAACAGCGTGAACAACACTGAGCCTAGATCCAACCCTGTGAGCAGGAATGTTCCACATCAGTTCACTCAGAAAAAGGTTCAAAAACATTCCGCGGTCTGCGGCTTCATCCGCAGCTGTGGCTTCAGAGGCCAACGTGGACCTACAAACTCGGGGCGATCTGCTACTCTTCCAGTCTATCGTTGCGAAGCTGCTAACTGCGTCAAAAACTTGTGGAGTGGTAATACCGCCAGTTAAAGTTCCAATTTGGCTGCCGCTTTTGCGTGCATTGTTCCATGAGGAATCACTATACACTGCAACTACGGAATCTCGGTTCAGTGGGACGCATGGAATCAAAAGTCCTTGATCAGGTGTCTGCTTGATGAACTCCATGGTCACATAGAGAGCCTTAAGGTCAGAAACGCATGCTTCTGCTCCATGCGGTGTCAAACTCACAGACGCAGCAACCTCTGGACGGCACTGTGTTGCAAGCCATTGGAGGCAGCCACACACACTTCTGAGCTCTTTCTGTTCCTCTGGGGTTAGTTTGGCATCAGGTGGGCGACCACGCTGTACCTTTCCAGAGTCCAAACCATCAATGAACTTCTTCATGGTGATTTTCATGTCAACCTTTTTGGACTGATTGTCACGACATAGAGTCAGCTCTTTCCCCTTGAAGGTCACTGGTTTATCAAGTTCCATCTTCTCCAGCGATCCCCACTCAAAAAGGGCAAAAACTTCCTTAATGTCATAGTCTTCTCGATGCAAAATGACAAAATCATCGACGTATGTCAAAATCGCAGCTACAATCTGTCCTTGTTCATTCCTTTTCACAAACAGTTGACGGTCGAAACCATGTTGTTGGAATGAAATGGAATGCAGTCGCTTTATCACTTCCTTCTGCCACGTCACTGGCGCATTCGCAAGTCCATAGATGTTGCCATGAATTTGATACAACTTGGCAGTCCAGGTGTTTGTCTGGGCGATAAGTCCATCTCTTGGTGGCCTCAAAAATAGTGGTCCTGCACATTCTTTGGGGTCTTGCATTCCCTGGAGAAAGGCAGTCTTCGCATCACCAATGTAGGCAACCCAAGAAAATGAGGTATCGAACAAACATCCATTGTATCCAGCTACAATCATCAAAAACATCACATGTTCTGCAGTACGGCCTGGAGTGGCAGCATTGCGTGACAATTGAGATAAATCTGGATCTAAATGGCCAAGTGCAACGATTCGGCATTTGGGTCGAATCTCTCCGATTCCGCAGCTCTTGTCGCGGTAGCATGCTCGGCTGGGCAAAATCCTCCGAGACAGCTTAGAGTCTCGAAACACTCGTTCAGCTTCGGCATCTGACAATGGCTGCACTGATTGCCATTGCTGCCAGGCAAGTGCTTCTTTGGAAATCGCCTCCAAAAACTTGTCCGCGTACTTGGCAGGCATGCTGAGAATGCTTCTCCAAGGCAGCTCTCTGTCTAAAGCTTTGACCTCTTGCCGTGTCATGCCCTGTTTGTACGCAGGAACAGGCTGAGACTGATGAGTCTTAGCATTGGTGCCTTGCTGTCGGACTGGTTGAAGGTGTGCACTCTTTGTGGTTGCTGTTGCATTGCTTTCATCATCTGACTCATCGGTGTCTGAGTCATTGGTGGTATCTGACTCATCGGCTGGTTTCTGGATGTCAGCGACGTCTTCTTTTCTTTCTGCCGTTGACAAATAAGCCTGATGAAAACGATTCAGCCGAGGACCATATCCGATGGGTGGTGAGCCATCCCAATGAGCATGTGGTCTGTGAAATTGATGTTCTCCTGCTGGAATCAATGAAATCATGGCTTCAAAGTTCCTTTTCTGTGGCAGCTGAGGCCGCGAGCTGCTGCTGGCTGCTTGTGGTCCTCCAGTTGTCATAGCCGTATCTGACTGTTGTGAAGGCGCAGTCAGATCAATCACTGCTGGTTGTGGCACTGGTGGCTCTTCTGACGAAATTGGGGAAGTTGGTTCATACCCATCTGGCTGTTCATCTCCTGGAGGATCTTTGAGGCCTGGAAAATCATCCAGTGGAAAAGGTGTTTCTGGTGGCTCATTGGCATCTGGCTCGTCTTCAGCATCCAAAATGGTATTTGCTGATGGTAGCGGTGGCATTAAAGGTGGTGAAACTGCCGGTGGTGTTTGTGGTAGTGGTTCTACCTCTGATTGTG